CGGCGCGAGGTGGGGTGGTAGAACTGCCAGCCCGGCGCGTCAGGGGGGAAGCCAAGGAAGACGCAGGGAACAGCACAAGGGGACAGCTTGTCCGCAGACAAGTCGCGGACAAACGCCCGAGATCCCTAGACATGGAACGCAGACGCATCGCCAACCTTCCCCGTCCACAGCAAAGCAGGGGAGGTCTCCGGCATGGAGACCCGGGGCTGAAGGTTGATCTGATGCGCCGCGTACCGAACCGCAAACGGCCACAGAAAATGGGGGGCAGCCGCATGGACCATGGACGTACGAGCGACGTCCATGACCATGCCAATGCGGCGCTCAGCAATCCCATTTTGCTGCGGAGAGTCCGGAAGCGTGAAGGTCTGGCGGATGCCTCGTGCACGACAGAAGGCTCGCAGAAGGTCAGAGGAGAACTCTCCGCCTCTGTCAGAGTGCAGACGCAGAACAGGAAAGTCCGAGCCGAAACTCTCTCTGAGCTGGAGACGAGCTGCGCGGATCCAGGCGATCAACACCTCAGTGACCTCACCCTTGCTGCGCAAGGGGAAGACTGCGGTGTAACGCGAGTAGTCGTCAACCACCAGCAGGAAGTAACGCTCGTGACCCTGTCCACGGACGCGGGCTGGGCCCCACACGTCCATGTGAAGCGTCTGCAGCGGAGCCTCTGTCGGAGGAAACTCGGAGGAGTGAGGAGCAGCGCGCTGCCGCCCCTCGACGCAGGGAACGCAGGTGGGGGCAGGCCCCGGAGGAAGGGGAGGGAGGGACCGGGGGAGACCAGAGACAAGGACACGGGAGGCCATGCCTCGAAGACGAGGCAGGTAGGGGTGACCAAGGCGGTGGTGCCAGAGGAGAGTCTGGTGAGACAGGAGACGACACGAGCAGGGGGCAGACTCAGGACCAGACCTGGACGCCGCAGCAAACACCTGACCCGACGCGGCTACCTGAGCAGACTCAGCGACCGGAGGAGACTCAGCAGTCAGTGTGTACAGGCTCGACCCCGGCTGACGGGTAAACGTGGCCAAGTGACGGCCCGTCCGAGCACAGGTACAGTGGGTCACTCGCTGACTCGCAGGAGTGAACTGGTGAACCCCTCCACCCTGGAGGTCAGCACCACTCACCAAGTTTGTAGAGAACGAGGGGAGGTAAAGACCCGACAGGGTGCCAGAAGGGGCCGCCGGACACGGTAGAACAGTGGAGAAGTGGGCAAGGACAGGACCCCCAGAGGGGTCTGCCAGGGAGACTGCCACTGGCCGACTAAGCGGCGTAAGCATGGTGCGGTCTCGAAAAAAGGAGCGGGAAGCACCAGAGTCAAGGGTGAAGGTGTGGGTGGCCGGAGCCGACGCGGTACCTGAGAGCGCAGACTCACCAGCACCTGGGGCAGTAGGCTCACTGGCACCTAGAGCAGCAGCCTCACCAGCACCTAGAGCAGCAGCCTCAATGCCCGGGTCAGGCGGAAAACACCGGTAACAGTCACCCTCATCACTAATAGTCACAGCATACATTGCAGCAAGAATAGCATCATAATCAAGATCAAAGATCGCAACACCCACCCTAGACAGCTCGCCCCAGCAAGGGATCTCAGTAGCGTCAGGGAACTGATGACGCCAAGCGTCCGTCAGGCGGCCGAAGCAGCGCTGGGTGGAGTGCGGACCCCCACACTGCTCACCCGCGCGGTCGCCGGTACGTAGAACGTAGGTACAGGGGCCAGCACCCCCACCCCGCTGACGAGCAGTGTACCACTCACGAAGCTGCTGGGGGGAAGGGGTCTCACGAGTGCGCTGCTGCTGCTGCTGCTGGCGCTGACCACCACCGGAGCCGACCCTCTGCGTAGCGCCGCCCCGACCAGCTCCACCTCCGCCGCCGCTACCTCCACCACCGCCTCCACCTCCGCCACCTCCGCCCGCACTGCCACCACCGCCGCCTCCTCCGCCTCCACTGCCGCCACTAGCGCCCCCACCCCCGCCACCACTCCCACCGCCACCCCCACCCCCTCCGCCGCCTCCACCGCCGCCTCCACCGCCCCCGCCAGCTCCTCCAGCGCCCTTGCCCCCCTTGCCCCTGCCTGAGCGGCGTCTCCCGCTAGGGGCAGACGCCGCGCCGACCGACTCAAGACCAACGAGGTCGGCCGCAGCACCAGAGCCAACAGAGGGCAAGAGGGGGGAGGGGGAGCACCCCTCAAAGACAGGGGTACGAGGGTCACCACGAGAGGCTCCTAAAGCGACTATACTCTTTTCCGCTGCTAGGAGGCGCTCCTCGAGGAGGTCAACGGTGAGGGTGGTGGGGTAAACAGAGAGGAAGTGGTCCCTGACCGAGCGAAGGGTGTCAGGGAGCCGGGTGACTATGTAGTAGAGGGTGATGTACATAGGGGGGGGGTTCTTGGCGCAGAACTCAGCAGGAAGCGCAGCGCGGTAGCGAATGTCACTAGTGCGAAGGTGCGTAATGAGGTCAGCGACTGTGGGAAAAGCGGCGAGGTCAGGGAAGAGGTACGGCAGTATGAGGCGGCTAAGGGCAGCAGTGGCAGGGGAAGAGTAGCGTGCAACGACAGCGACAAGGTCTTAGCACTCTTGTACTGACTAAAATGCGCGCGCTCAGCGGTCGGTAAGTGGCGGCGCACAGCAAGGCGAGCAGCAGCATCGCGCGTGGCCCACTGTGAGCGAACAGTGGCGTCAGCATCAGCAGCAGGGGCAGGAGAGGCACCAGAGGTGAGGTCAAACAGAGAGAGACCGTCTGCCCTATCGCACTGTAGGAAAAGCTGCAGATCATCTACCCAGACCTCAAAGTCAACAGCCCGACCCTCAGCGTCAAAGGTGAGAACACTGGGGGTGGCCATGACAGCAGTAGACTGGCAGAGAGAGCAGCGGGGTAGGGCAGTGCAGTGGCAGAGGCGCTGCTCTTACCAGGCAGGTGGGGCGGGCCGAGGCAGGCCGGCAGGGACAGGGCCGCGACGGCAGGGACTGCGGCGTCTCGGTTGCGGCGGCGTGGCGGCTCGGCGGCTCGGCGGCTCGGCGGCTCGGCGGCTCGGCTGCAGGGCGGCTCGGCGGCTCGGCGGCTCGGCGGCTGGGCAGCTCGGCGGCTCGGCGGCTCGGCGGCACGGCGGCAAGGGCGGCCCGGCGGCTCGGCGGCTCGGCGGTGACGGCGGCTCGGCTGCTCGACGGGGCCGGGAAGGGCGGCTGAGGGGCCGAGGAAGGGCGGCAGGGCCGCGAAGGGCGGCGACGGGGCCGCAAGGGGCGGCAACGAGGCCGCTGAAGGGCGGCGACGAGGCCGCTGAGGGGCGGCGACGGGGCCGCTGAAGGGCGGCGACGAGGCCGCGAAAGGGCGGCGACGGGGCCGCGGAAGGGCGGCAATGGGGCCGCTGAAGGGCGGCGACGGGGCCGCGGAGGGGCGGCGACGTGGCCGCTGAAGGGCGGCGACGAGGCCGAGGGGAGGGGGGGACGGCGACGGGGCCGCGAAGGGCGGCTACGGGGTCGCGGCTCGGCGGCGACGGGGCCGAAAGGGGCGGCGACGGGGCCGTAAGGGGCGGCGACGGGGCCGTAAGGGGCGGCGATGGGGCCTTAAGGGGCGGCGACGGGGCCGTAAGGGGCGGTCGCGGGGCCGTGAGGGGCGGCGACGGGGCCGTAAGGGGCGGTCGCGGGGCCGTGAGGGGCGGCGACGGGGCCGTAAGGGGCGGTCGCGGGGCCGTAAGAGGCGGTCGCGGGGCCGTAAGGGGCGGCGACGGGGCCGCTAAGGGGCCACGCGGGGCCTAGAGAGGGCAGCGACGGGGCCTGAGGGGCCGCTAAGAAGGGCGCGACGGGTCGCTAGGGGCGGGACATTAGGCGCGCTTCGGGCAGGGGCGGCACGCGCCCCGGGTAGGAAAAAAAATCTTGGTGGGCCCTAGGAACAGTTCCCACGAGGGAACCTGCTCGATACCATGAGAAACTTAGAATGAGAATGAATTGATTAAGGAATGAAAGTGATACAAATATGAAACCCTAGAATTGTGTACCCCTTAGTATCTAACCCGCTACAGCCTACACAGGCTAGATCATATAAGTTTGACAATTCCAACTTTTCGAAATTCGCCTGGTCAACTGGTCAGTCACGGGTCAACTCAGCGGTTAACGCATTCTGCACCGTCAGATCCATTTTCAACCGGGATATGCAGTTTTCACGCTACTGCACGACTCGTCTACGGATAAGGGGACCTTATCTAGAAGGTGGGAGAATGTAAGGATTTTGCCAATTCCTTACTGTAGCCTTGCCTTAACGGGTACAGCCCGAGCACTTCGCGTCAGGTGGCTCGGCCTACACTTCCGCACCGAACCAAGGCCGAGTCGCCCCGCACCAACCGCGACACATCCAACCCATCCACGTCCCGAGGTCCTCGCCTAGCACGGTTTCGACCCTATAAATGCGTGCTCCTTTATCATTCTTGATAATTCAGTAATTCTGTAATCACGGTCTCTTTATAGAAGTCTTCCGCGCACTCTGTTTAGTAAAACTCATAACAAGTTTGGTGAACGAAACCACTCAACCGAAGTCAACGCGAGAATTTTTTGGTTTGGAAGGCAGGTCCGGGTAGGTTGCGAGACCTTCGTCTTCACGAAATCATTTCCCGAAAGAAGTCTTTCGCAATTCGTGGGGCAATTCCTTCACGGAGCCATTTTGCGAGACCCTCGTGTCAACTCGTTTGTTTACTGTTTATGGATCGTGGCTGAGGACGGTTCCATACGTTCTAAATCGGTGTTTTTTATATCATCGTACCTCACCGTGACAGTATGAGCAGGGTGAAAAAAACATGTGTGTTAACTACCAGGTTAGAACATCAGTGTCTAGTCTACATTTTCAGGCTAGTATAGCTAGGTATAACTAGTGAGACCAGAGCTTCTACGAGCATACATTTAGGCAGGTACGAGCATACTATTAGTTAGGGCCTGGGCGTTTATAGGAATTGTGGGTCGCTCCATAGTTAGACTCTAACCCCGACCAGAATTCGTAACAGTCAGACGCGACACACCATTCTGATGGGGGGAGCAACGGGGGAGGACGGGCTAAAGGATGAAACGGCGCACGAAGCGGGGGGGAACTCAGGGAGCGGGGCGACAGCGCATGGGGCGGGGGAGAACGCGGGGAGCGGAGCAACAGCGCACAATGCGGGAAAGGAGGGGGGCGAGGCGGCAACAGCGCACGAGACGGGGGAGGAGCGGGGCGAGATTGCGACAGTGCACGGGACGATGAGGGAGGGGATGGCGGTGCTGATTGACGTGAACGGCGAAAAGGCGTCCTTCGCCATGCTGCAGCGAAACAGGTGCGTCTTTCGCCATGCTGCTGCGAAACAGGTGCGTCTTTCGCCATGCTGCAGCGAAACAGGTGCGTCTTTCGCCATGCTGCAGCGAAACAGGTGCGTCTTTCGCCATGCTGCAGCGCAACAGGTGCGCCTCGCAGTTTCTCTTCCCCTCATTCGCCGCCTCTACTGCCCCACCACACCACCCCCCATATTCTCTCCTCCTCCCTTTGTCCACCCTCCCCCTTTTCTTCGCTCCTTCCTCCTGTTTTCTTCTGATCCCCGCTGTCCCACCTCCCTGCACTCCCTTTTTTCCCGTCATCCCAAACCTCTCGTAAACCCCTATCCCCCTAGCCCCCATTATCCCCCTTCCCCCTTTCTCAGTCTTCCACCCTCCCCGCGCCCCTCTCCCTCCCAGAACCGCACGGGTGGGCAAGCAGCAGTGCTCCCTCGCGCCCCTCATAGGCTGCCCCTATCGTCTATCCCTCTTCCCCCCTTCATCATCTCTTCTTCCCGTGCCAACTCTTCCCCCTTTCCCCATTCTCCCCTCCTCCCCTCCCCGCGCCCCCCTCTCCGCCCAGAACTGTGCGGGTGGGCAAGCAGCAGTGCTCCCTCGCGCCCCTCATAGGCTGCGCCTATCGTGTTTCCTTCGTCTCCCCTTCATCCTCTCTTCTTCCCCTGCCAACTTTTCCCATTTCTCCCTTCCCCCATTCCCACCTCTCCGCCTCCCCCCTCCCCATCCTCCCCTCCCCACCCCCCTCTCCTCCTCCCCAGCACCGTGCGAGTGGGCAAGCAGCACTGCTCCCTCGCGCCCCTCCTCAGCTGCCCCTTTTGCTTCCCCCCACTCCCCCCGCCCCTCTTCCCCTCTTCCCCCCAGCACCGTGCGAGTGGGCAAGCAGCAGTGCTCCCTTGCCCCCCTCATAGGCTGCCCCTTTGGGTCTGTCTTTGAGCTGCGCATGGGGGGAGAGGAGGGCGCAGGGGGGGGCGGGGGGGAGGGGGGAGGCGGAGAGGGGGAAGGCGGAGAGGGGAGCCAAGCGAAGGGCGCGGGAGGGGAGAAGGAGGATGATAAGGGCGATGGGGGGAAGGGCGGAAGGGGAAAATGGGGTGGACGGGGGGGAGGAAGAGGTGGAGGGGGGAGGGGAGGGGGGAGAGGAGGAAGGAGGCCGCAGCTGGTGCGAGTGTCAAAGGAGCAACTGAGGGAAGGTGAGTTACTGAATAAGTGAAGCAGGGAGGGACGGAGGGCGAGGGGGAGGGAGAAGAGGCGCTCTCTCCTCTCCTGCTCTTTCACACCAAACCAGAGTTTTGAAACGTCTGGCGACCGCTTTCGCACCCAGCACCCAATGAATGAAGGATTGATCCCATCCGAAACATGTTTGCCGCGTTTTAGTCTCTTAGTGGAGCCAAGGTTTGGGCTTCAATTCTCGGTTCTCTGACACCTTCACGCACTGCTCTCAATCTTATGCTAAAGATTCGTCTGAAACGCTTCTCGCGCAGTCTACATGCCTGACGCACCAAGCACTCACTGTTTGTATGTGCCCTGACTGACCACCGCTTCTCTATCGTTCCAGATTCTCTTGCTGCCATTGGGGAGGTAGACGCTGCTGCTGTTATGACTGCTGCCACCGCTGCTGGTGATACTGCTGCTGATGCTGCAAAGAGTGGAGAAGCAGAGATGGGTGCAGAGGGCAGCAGCGGGGGGGTGAAGGACAATCGCAATCTGATCGACGATAACACGGCGCAGAAGCTATCGGCTAATGAGATTGAAGCACTCAAGAGGTGACTGGCCAAACCAGAAGAAGCACACTCAACTCAACCAGCTTTCACCATTTTTTCGTTTGCAAAGCCTTTACATGTTTCCACTTTGTTCACCTTCCCAACCTTCTTCACAGTTTTCTTTACTTCAACTTTCTTTTCCTTTTCACCATGTCTACTGTTCATGTTCCAATTCTGGCTTGGTCACCTTTTCACCACTTGACCCTTTTCACCACTTGACCCTTTTCACCACTTGACCCTTTTCACCACTTGACCCTTTTCACCACTTGACCCTTTTCACCACTTGACCCTTTTCCCTCTGGCTCTCCACCTTGTGCTCGTTTTCAGGCAAGCAGCATCGGGCCATGAGGTGGTGCGGGCACTGGCGGCCAACAGCGTCTCCTTCCTCTCCAAAACCGACTTCGCCCAGGTCATGCTTCGCCCAGGTCATGCCCGCCCGCTGCTGCTTGCTGCTCGCTGCTTGCTCCTACTTGCTGTCTGCTACTTTCCATTCCACTACCGACTCGCACCTCCTTCTACACCAAAACCTACTTCGCCCAGGTCATGCCTGCGCTGCGCCTGAATGCTCCTCCTCGCTGCGGGATACGTTCTTTCTCTACTTGCTCCTGCCTCCTTTCAACGCCCGCTTCTGCTCGCTCCTGTATGAATCTCACTCTCATCCCCTCTCCACACAAGAGGTATCTGAGGAAGAAGCAGAAAGAGCAGGCAAAACGCACTCTCGTGTGATTATCATTACATTACTGTGTCATCCTTCTCTCGCTTGAATCACCCAATCCCTTCGCGCTCCACAACAGGAGAAGTATCTGAGGAAGAAGCAGAAGAAGCACGCTCCCCGCCTGGTCGCCCGCTTTCCCACAGCTGACAGGTCTCTCTGCCTAGCCTAACCACCATGCCTCTCTGCCTAGCCTACCCACCATGCCTCTCTGCCTAGCCTACCCACCATGCCTCTCTGCCTAGCCTACCCACCATGCCTCTCTGCCTAGCCTACACACCATGCCTCTCTGCCTAGCCTACCCACCATGCCTCTCTGCCTAGCCTACCCACCATGCCTCTCTGCCCAGCCGCGATGCCTCTCCAGCCATGTTTGCAACCATGCAACATCCACCCACGTCCTTCACTTCTACATGCCCATGTCTGCATGACTCTAACACTCATATGCGTACACCCCAATATCATGAGCTGTGTACAGCATTGTATCGTGCACTGAACTGAACATCGCTGTTTTCTGTCATATCGTTTACACGGTTTCCCTACACGATGCATACACCACAAATAGTTTCTGTGGTCTCGGGACTGCCTGCATTCACAATACTTAGAAAAAAGTATTCACTGAACCTGTTCTAACCCCTCTTCCTTATCTTTCTCCTTCTCGTCGTGCCTCATCCTTGCTCCCACCGCACATCAGCGTGTGCGAAGCGTACTTCGCCAAGGCGCCTGCCAGGATTGGGTGAGTGAAATAGGGTGTGAGCGAGTGAAGGGGGGCAGGGCAATAGTAGTCCTCTCTAGTCCTCCTTACTCCTCACGTCTCCCACATCAGCGTGTGCGAAGCGTACTTCGCCAAGGCGCCTGCCAGGATTGGGTGAGTGACAAGATGGCTTTTGAGAAATTTCAAGAGTGGATGAGTGAGAAGATGGCTTGCCTCCCCGAACAGTTTGGTTTCTCTAGCATGGCGTGATGGACAAAGCGGTGTGTAAAGCAGCATGCGACGCAGTGCACTCGGCAGCAGTGTATTTGCATACAGGCCAATGGCACAAAAACTATGTCTTTCTGTCAAACGGATATGGATTGCGTACCGTGTGTGTGTATTATGGTTGTGCTGTGTTGCTTCACCTTTTGTCCTTCTTGTCCCATATACCACAGTCTCCTCTCTTGCCAGTGGTAGCATCGCCAGTTCTGCTAGCCACGCACGCTTGCACCTGCTGCTCCAGGCAACTCTTTCCCCTCCTCCGCCGCCCATTGCTCCCCGTCTTTCTCACTCTCCCCACCTATCTTTCTCACTCTCCCCACCTATCTTTCTTCTCTCCCCAACCATCTTTCTTCTCTCCCCACCTATCTTTCTTCTCTCCCCACCTATCTTTCTTCTCTCCCCACCCATCTTTCTTCTCTCCCCACCTATCTTTCTTCTCTCCCCACCTATCTTTCTTCTCTCCCCACCTATCTTTCTTCTCTCCCCACCTATCTTTCTTCTCTCCCCACTTATCTTTCTTCTCTCCCCGTGCGTGCCCTGCAGTTTCCTGCGCCCTGGCAGCCTGGCGATGTTACCAGGGCAACTTTTGAGAGGCACCTCAGAAGTCTGGCAATTCTGCTGACCACGGGCAATGTGTTCGCCCCCTCCCCTTGGACATGCTGCTTCAGGATAATCCTTCCCTTCCTCCACCCATTACCCTCCCTCCATCATTATTCTTTTTTGCAGTTCCCTCCGCCCCGACAGCCTGGCAATGCAGCTAGCAATGGCCAATGCGGGCACACGCACACTCACACGTGCTTCAGGCTAATCTTTTCCCCCCTCTCCACCCGTTGCTCCCCTCTCTCCCCATGTGTGCCCCGCAGTTTCCTCCGCCCTGACAGCCTGGCGATGCTGCTAGCCATGGCCAATGTGGGAGCACACTCGCAGCTGCTCGTGCTGGACGGCACAGGGGGGCTCATCACGGCTGCTGCCGCGCAGAGGATGGGAGGCCACGGCGCCATCTGCAGCGCCTTCTATGCCTCGCATGTGTCCCACGCGCCCTCCATCGACATCATCCGCCATCTCAACCTCTCGCTGCCTGCTGCCGCCATGTATGTCAGTGCCACCCCTCCCTCACTGCTGCCGCTGCCATAACCTCTCCCTGCCCGCCGCTGCCATGTCAGTTGCTCTGTCGTGTGGAATGTAGTGTAACGTGGCATGTAACCTGCCTTGTATCGTGTCATGTGACATGTCCTGCCAGCATCTACACTTCTTTCCTCGCCCACATCCCTCGCCTGCATGCCATGCCATGCCACATATCATGCCATGCCATGCCATGCCATGCCATGCCATGCACCCTCCACCATCACCATCCTTTGACACATCCTTAATACGGTCACTGATGCTCCCATGCAATCTGTTTGTCATTCTCACTGTTGTCCCCCCCTTGCCAGCATTCATCGAGCATCGGTGCAGCAGTTGCTGGATGCACACCACAGCTGGTCGCAGCAGCAGCAGCAGCAGCAACAGAAGCACGTCACTGCAGCAGCGGATGCGCCACAAACAGCAGAGGCGGTTGCACCCGTCGCAACATTGAACGATGCGGTAGCAGCAGCAGATGCAGTAGATGCCTCAGGAGCAACAGCAGCAGCAGCTGATGGACAAACAGCTGGGGGCGGTGAAGGGGAGGAGGCTGAAGGGAGGCCTTGTAAGAGGCCGAAGGGGGAAGGGGACGAGAGTGCTGCTCAGACTGGATCAGAGGGAGCAGCCGGTGCTGAGGAAGAGAGAAAAGCAGCAGACGGTGTAGATGGGTTGAATGCGGTAGCAGAGGCTCCAGCAGTGGAGAAGATGGAAGTAGAGGAGGCAGAGGGAGTGAGAAGTGGTGTGAGAGAGGGGAGAGAGGGCGGAGGGAGGAAGGGGATGCGGGAGGGGGAGGGGAAGAGCAGCCTGACGCGGGAGGAGCGGGGAGCACAGGGGGCATTGGGCCGGGTGGCGTCAAGTGAGGTCATGCAGCAGTGGCTGCAAGAGCATGGGGGCTTCAGTAGGTGAGCTTTGCAGATTGCCTTGCCTGTAAGGGCATGGGGCCCTGTAAGGGCATGGTGAGGTTGAAAAGGGGGGCCTGATGGGCGCATCTACTCTCAAGTCATGCAGCAGTGGCTGAAGGAACATTGCATCGCCTGTAAGGGCACGGGTTAGGACGGCTTCTAGTGACGACACTAGGCGGTGGACTAAGAAGCGTGCCGTGGGATTAAGAACGGCGCAGTGAGGGAATTGCAGTGTGGGCATTGAGACGAGTTCCAGCTATATCTTGTATGTGGGCATTGTATGGGAAGCCATGGGGGGGAGGGTGTTTTTCTTGTATGAAAAACACCATAGCCATTGTGGGAAGCCATGGGGGGGAGGGTGACCCCTGGCGTCCTGTGGAGTGCAGGCATGAGGCAGTGATTGCTACACCACCTGCTATCACCTCCTTTTCTCTTCCTCTGCTACCCCTGTTGTGTCTTTTTGTTCTCGTCGAACCCTTCTTTATCATCCATCCTCTCATACCCGTGCATCTCCTCATGTCCCTCCTCTGTCTCTCTCCACGCATCTCTCCATCCCCTCCCCCTACTACCCCTCCCCGGTCTCATAGTGGCAGCGCCTGCTTGCTGCCCCTCTGCCTGCCATGTCCCCTCAATCCCATGCCTTAAACCCCTCTGTGCCCCACTCCTATTCACACCATTCCCCATGTCTCTCCGATGAATCTCCCCAGTCTCATAGTGGCAGCACCTGCTCTCTGCCCCTCTGCCGTGCTGCAGCAGCTGCTGCCGCTGCTGCAGCCATCTGCAGCGTTCGTGCTGCACCACACCACACTGCAGGTGAGTCGAGGGGTTGCAGGTGAGAGGGTGGAGAGCTGGTGGGGGGTATGAGAGTGGGTAGCAATCATTGACGCTCCTGCCTCGGCGCAGCCATCTGCACCCTTGGTGCTGCACCACACCAGGCTGCGGGTGAGAAGGTGGAGAGCAGGGGAGGGGTTTTAGAGGCGAGGCGCCAAGACCCATGAATAGGTCGCACACGCGCTGGTCGGATGAGACATGTCTCACGCCCCTGCTGCTGCTGCAGCCATCCGCAGCCTTTGTGCTGCACCACACCATGCTGCAGGTTTGAGGGTGGAGAGAGAGCAGGTGGAGGGGAGAGAATAGGTGAGAGCACGAGAGAAGGTGAGGGGCGTGAGAGCACGAGAGAAGGTGAGGGGCGTGAGAGCACGAGAGAAGGTGAGGGGCGTGAGAGCACGAGAGAAGGTGAGGGGCGTGAGAGCACGAGAGAAGGTGAGGGGCGTGAGAGCACGAGAGAAGGTGAGGGGCGTGAGAGCACGAGAGAAGGTGAGGGGCGTGAGAGCATGCAGGTAGCACCATGCTGGTGGGTTGGCTGACGCTCCTGTTGCAGCCGTTGTTTGCAACTTGGCACGGGTCTTTGCGTACGCCAATCCTCAGCAGAATTTGGGTCTTTTCTGCTGCACAGCCTCCCTCTCCCATTTGCTCTCTCCCCTATTATTTTCTCACTTCCGTTTTTGCTATCTGCATTCCTTGGCAGTGCGTCACTCTCCCCTAACCCACTCTCCCCTAACCCACTCTCCCCTAACCCACTCTCCCCTAACCCACTCTCCCCTAACCCACTCTCCCCTAACCCACTCTCCTTTAACCCACTCTCCCCTAACCCCACTCTCCCTTTCCCCCATCCCTCTCCCCCCTTATGCAACATGTCAACTAGCTGATGTGATTGGATCCTCTTTTGAGGCGCCTCAACTGTCACTCGCATCACGTGCGCTTGCTTTCCCTTGCCCCCCTTGCGCCCCGCACGCCTGCCCTTCTCCACCCCTGCAGCCACTACCAGAGGCGCTTTGGGCATCATATGAGGCGCCTCAGTAGTAGATGTATGATTGTTTTCTCAACCTTCACTCCTGCTTGCACCATACACGCCTACCTTTCCCCACCCCGGCAGCCGCTAGCAGAGGCAATGCGGGAAGCAAGGAGCAGCGCGGTGGCATTGGAGCTTAGCGAGCCATGGCTGAGAGAATACCAGGTGGGGGGAGGGATGAGAGAGGAGGGAGGTGAGACGAGGGAGGGTAGGAGTAGCAGGTGAGAGGAGGGAGAGAATGGTGAGGGGCGGTGACGGGAGGGAGGAAGTATTGGTGCCGCTGGGGCTGAGCGAGCCGTTGCTGAGAGAAAGAAAAGGTGAGGGGAGGGAGGGAATACCAGGTGAGGGGAGAGAGGGAGGGCGGAGGGGGGTGAGAACAGGGAGTGGCAGGTGAAAAGGGGCTTGTTAAAACAGGGAAGAAGTGAGGTGAGTTAATACCAGGTGAATAGATGAAGGCATGGGAGCTCAGTGCACCGTGGCATTGGAGCTTAGCGAGCCGTGGCTGAGAGAATACCAGGTGAGGGGAGGGAGAGAAAGGTAGGGAGGTGCGGGGAGGGAAGTGAGAACAGTGAGGTGAGAACAGGGAGTAGCAGGTGAGAGGAGGGAAGCTAGAACAGGGATTCGTTCAGCTATTCTATGCTTTGCTGTGCTATACAGTGTGCTCTCCCTCCCATGCTCCCCCTCCAGGTGCTGCCTCAGAGGACCCACCCCCACATGACCATGTCTGCCACGGGTGGTTACCTGCTCACGGGAATCAAAGTGATAACACCCTGAATCGGTCTCACTACAAGCAGAATCAAATCACATCCAAACCATTGCTATGTTGTTTTATGTGTGGACTTGGGTATCATAGATTCGCCAGTTACATTGTGTTAGCCATACCATCTCACAGAATAGCACTTAGCGCCCGTGTGAATACAAGTCATGAAGGTGCGTTGACAACAAAGGCGTGGACCCACTCTAGTATCTCGCCAATGCTGCTAGGGTGTTTCCTTCTCAACGACTGCACAATCGCCTCAAACGGTCAAGCTAACTCCTCTGCCGTGAGGCATGCCAACCCGTGGCCCCGCTCTCCTACTTTGCACCTTCTCTGACACCTAGCTAGGCGCATAGTGTTAGGGTTCTGCTCGGAATAGGTACCGTATGGGTAAGGGGGCGGACTACCAGGCATGACTTCTGAGGCGCCTCAAAACTCGGAATAGGTACCGTATGGGTAAGGGGGCGGACTACCAGGCATGACTTCTGAGGCGCCTCAAAACTCGGAATAGGTACCGTATGGGTAAGGGGGCGGACTACCAGGCATGCTGCGTCCATGGCGGAGTCAAACAGCTGACGCCACCCCCCCCTTCTCCCTCCCCCCCAAAAAACAAAGCCAAATGCTCCAAAATCAAAGCTCCCTGACCAATCCCCGGCTCGTGCGACAGTGCTAAGATGAGGTGTGGAAGGCCAAGAGGAAGAGTATCACAACCTGGGGCCGTTGGCACCCCGGCTTCCTCCATAGCTGCTACACGCCCTGGGGTGCTGCTGTCACCCCATGCAACCCCCCTGGTCGTTCTGCTCCCGGGAGTGTGGCTGTTCTGCTCCCGGGAGTGTGGCTGTTCTGCTCCCGGGAGTGTGGCTGTTCTGCTCCCGGGAGTGTGACTGTTCTGCTCCCGGGAATGTGGCTGTTCTGCTCCCGGGAATGTGGCTGTTCTGCTCCCGGGAATGCAGTTGTTCTGCTCCCGGTCCCGTGAGTGTGGCTGTTCTGCTCCCGGGAGTGTTGCTGTTCTGCTCCCGGGAGTGTTGCTGTCAACCCCAGCAGCGCCCCTGGCTGCTGCACGCTCTTGGCTCCAGTTGTGGGGCCCGCCTCCCTACCAGGCTGCTGCATCCCCAGCTGCCCCCGTAATTGCCGCACGCCCTGGGATGCTGCTGTAAACCACATCTGCCGTAATTTTGTTTTTAAAATTTATATGATTTCCGGTGTCATCCTGCTATAGCTCAGTTGGTAGAGCGGAGGACTGTAGTTAAGCAATCCTTAGGTCACTGGTTCGAATCCGGTTAGCGGGATGTTTTGTTGCTCTTCAGAATTTTGATTTTGTTTATGTTATCTCTGCGAGTACTTTCAAAGTATCTTGGTATTAGGGTACACTCTTGGCCAGTGTCAAGTTTCCTGACACGAGGCTATCAACTTCGTTATGGACCGCATGACACTGGCAAAGAACGTACCCTTTGTGAACTAGGTGAAAGGTACCGTAGTATAGTATAAGGAAAAGAGTGCAGCAGAGAAGCGTTACACATGCACGCAAAGGGGAAAAAAACTTGCTTGTTTAAAGCCAGCAGCTAAAATAGTGACCCCCCCCTTCTAGTTGGGTCCACTTGAAAGTTGAAGTGCTTTTCTTTATTTTTTTTCCAAGCGCATATGATGCTGATCGAGTTTCCAAACTTCAACTCAAACAAAATCGTCGCAAGCATGTGCAAATGCGTCGCTCAAAACATTGCGATGCACAAGTCTCATTCATATCCAGTGCCAAATTCGGATTGTGAAGCACGTCCAACTCATGCAAAGCAAGCCCAACGCACGCAAAGCAAATGCCTTAGACATGGGCCTGCAAGGGAGGCGATAACAACATGGGAAAAACAAGAAGCGAAAAAGACAGAGAATTTCAGGGCATGAGAGAAGAGACACTTAGTGCAGCAGAAACGAGGACGCGGGAAGAGAGATGCGTGAGCAAAATCTGCGGAATGGTAGGGAGATGGGAGGGGCATGGGGGAGGGTCAGATGAGGTGGAGCGAGGGCGACGGAAAGGGAGGGGAGAGAGCAAGGGAGACGGATAGGGAGGGAAGAGAGCGAGGGCAATGGAAAGGGAGGGGGAGAACGCGAGGGCGACGGGAACAGAGGGGAGAGAGCACGGGCGACGGAAATGGAGGGGAGAGACCAAGGGCGGTGGAAAAGGAGGGGAGAGAGCAAGGGAACGGGAACAAGGACCTGAAGGGATCGACGGGAGGGGAGGTAAATCTGTACGAAATTAGGGTCCCTATTATTATAATAAGAAAACATAGAAGAACTAGTTGGCTGCATAAGTATTTAGCGTCAGGTGATTAACCCCGCCCCCGCCAGCAGCTAAAAGTATCGTCACTTAATACTTTGAGCTTCAGGAAAGGGGGATAGCAAGGTCGATATTACTACGAGACGGCAGAAAATTTCGCGAGGCGACGGGAGAGAGCGGGGGCGACGGGAGAGAGCGTGGGCGACGGGACAGAGCGAGGGCGACGTGAGAGATAGAGGGCGACGGGAGAGAGGGCGACGGGGGAGAGGGCGACGGGACAGAGCAAAAGAGAGAGCGAGGGCGATGGGAGAGAGGGCGACGGGAGAGAGGGCGACGGGAGAGAGGGCGACGGGACAGAGCGAAGGAGAGAGCGAGGGCGATGGGAGAGAGGGCGACGGGAGAGAGGGCGACGGGAAGGGAGCGGAGAGAGAGAGCGCGATGGGAGGGGAGGGGGGAGAGAGAGGGCGACGGGAGAGAGGGCGACGGGAAGGGAGCGGAGAGAGAGAGCGCGATGGGAAGGGAGGGGGGAGAGCGAGCGCGATGGGAAGGGAGGCGACGGGAAGAGCGCGGATAGAGAGAGCGCGACGGGAAGAGAGGGGCGAGAGAGAGGGCGACGAAAGGGCGTTTCGGCGGCGAGCGCGTTCAGCCGAATAATCTCGAGGCAAGTGTCGCTACGCGGCGCGTAAGATTCCTCGCCACTAGGCCACGAATAGAAGGATGAGGATTAAATTTATAAAAATGGTACCGTATACTCCCGGACAAAACACCCCCCCATAATTGTACACCCCCGGGTAGCTTGTGCGGGGTGGGTGTTATGATAGACCTCGTTTCTACTATACCCCCCTTTTTGGCTGATTTTCTATAACACCCCCCCTTTTCTTACGGATTCATTATTATAGTCGTTAACGAGTAGCTGCAATACGGAAGAATGTCGTGTGAATTTCTCCCTCAATGAAATTTCGCGGTACATTCAAAGGCAATCTGCCGAGATTTGCCCCCTCCCACTATTTCTCTGTCGCCACGTGCAGGTGAATCTTCCGTTGCAAGTGGCAAGAGAGGTGCCACATGCCATTTTCGTGGGGGCGATGAAGTTCGAGGCCGAAACTCACATTCGCGCCTCAGGCAGTGATGCTAAAACGACCAGCAAAACACCCACATTGACTAATTAAAAAAACACTAACACTAAGATATGCCATATGTAAAGACCCGGGTATTATGTATTTTTTTCCTATGAGGAGACCCCCCCCATTTTTTCCCTGTATTTTTAGCTATACCCTAGGGTGTTATGTCCGGGAGAATACGGTAGTTGCCTAGGCAAAAATGCCTACGTTTTCAGCTATTCTAAGCTTGGCTAAACTAGAGACTAGAGCGGAAAGAAGTAGTGGAACCCAGGTCCGGCTTGAAGTTGGAGTTGGACCCAACGATCGCAATGATCGCCGTGCAGCCGTCGTGCGGGTGCATCATGTTGAAGGCGACTCCTTGTGTAAGGCCCAAAAATTTCGTTTTTGGCGGGAGCCAATCAAATGGCTTCGATCTGCACACACGAAATGTTTGAAACAGTGCTTTGCAAACCCACTCTGGAAGACCCTTTCAAGCTGGGACGGGGTTCACTATTCCATATTTCGGTTTTAATATACCGTCGGTCAGCCAGCCCTGTAGCTGCATGCATCAAAGCAGAATTACACTTCAAACCTGACTCTGAATTGATAAAAACCTTACCGGTGTCTCTGATATTTCAGAAAAAATTACTCAAGCCGAGTCAGACAGCTGTCAATCGGCTCCACACCGGTATGCTGCTCATGGCTATCAGCTTATCGCACCGTCGGTGCATCCCGAGCACTAGCAAGGACCTGCATGTATTCCCTTGTGCAGCGCCCTCAGGTTGACTGAGTTCTGCACTGCTGTTGAGGGCCTTTCCACAATGCATTGTTCGTGCCGTGCCATGCCGTGCCGTGCCGTGCCGTGCTGCTATTTGCTCCCCAGGAAAGGAATGGGAGCGGAGGCCCGGCGTCACGAGACAAAGGGGATGCCGGACGGCACCGAGGCGGCGTATCGTGCGTACTCAAGGCCAAAGAACTGGTGCAGGTAGAACTCCTCGTAGCTGGGGGGAGGTAGGGGGTAGGGCACGGTAGCAGAGGAAATAACGTGATGAGTTGAAACGAATGCCGGATGGCACCGAGGCAGTGCGTACTCGATGCCAAAGAACTGGTGCAGTTAAAACTCCTGCATGGAGGGGGGAGGGAAAGAGGGAGGACGGGGGGGAAGTGGAGGGTGGGGGATGGGAGCAGAGGCACCGAGGTGGCATATCGCACACACTCGAGGCTCAAGAACTGGTGCAGATAGAACTCCTCGTAGCTGGGATGGGGGGGAAGGGAAAGAGGGAGGAGAAGTGGTAGGGGGAGGGTGAGGCATGGGAGCAGGGGGCGGGCGCCATGAGGGTGGGAATGCTGGAAGGGATGGGATGCGAATGGGGCATGGAGGCTGGGAAGGGAACTGGCAAGGTAGTGCAGGGATTGGAAAACGGAGTTGAAAGAGTGGGGTGGACAAGGAAAGACAACGGCAAGGCCGAGAGGGTCAGTGCCACAGTGTGTGAGCAGAGCAGTTTGAGAAATGTGGGTTTGAGCAGTTTGAGCAGTCACAATGTGTGACTTTTGTCGGAATCTTGCTGCTCTGGCCTCTCCTGCGCTCCTTGCCATAGCTCTTCTCCCCCTTTCCTCCTGCTCGTCCCTTCTTCTCTCCCTACGGCTCTCAGCCTGGATTCTGCAGGCTCCTCAACTCCCTGTTCCTTTCCCTTCTGAATCCAATCCCTCTCTCCACTTGCCCCCTCCGCGGCTGTGCTGGCGCCCCTGCTGACTGCCGCTGGATCTCCCCCTCGTGTGCCCTTGTGTCTGGTCGTCCTGCGTGCCTCGCCTTGGCCCGCACAACGTTAGTGCAGTGATCTGTCCTGCGTTGTCCTTGCTCACTCACTAGGACCACTACTCCGGAGTCCTTCACTTCCTTGACCTTCCAGCGCTCCGTGCTCAGCCCGATATCCATCAGATCCTGCTTGGCCTGCTGCAAGCATACCTCCTCCCCGGCCCCCAGTACGGGGATCCTTCTTCCCCTTTTCAACCTCCCCCCGTCGCTTGTAGCGTTGTGCATCTCGCAGTTTCGCCACGTCCAGGTTTTCCAGCGCCGCAGGTAAGAGTTCCCTCAGGTAACGGGCCCTTGCCTCTGCTAATCCCACCCAATCTGCTTCGTTCTCCACTCGCACCGAGCCTGTGAGTATCCTCGGCGCGTCTACTGGTAACACCGGCTCTCGTCCCAGGAGAAGGTAGTATGGCGATAGGTCCCGCAGTGCGGCCTGCTTGCTGAATCTGTATCCAGCCACCACCCATGCCAACCGCACATCCCAATCCCGCTTGAATTGCTACCCGTATGCCCGGAGCCCCCTTCTCACTGTCTGGACAAACCGTTCCGTGAGCCCATCACTCTGCGGGTGGCTAAGTTGGAATATACGCTTGGGTTTGTAAGCGTACTGCGTTTGTACGCTAGCGTATACACGCAAATGCGCAAAACGCAAAATGTACGCTTCGATATAATGCGGGCAGCCCGGGCGGAAAAAAAAAAAACAAAAGTTGCAGATTTCGAGTTCGCGATTCGCACAACATTGTTCCCATGTCGCGGACACCAATGAACTCTCGAATTTCAAATTTTGAAAGCTACACATGTTCCTACCGCATTCAACCCCAGCTTATCTCTCTCACTTCCAACCCATCAGTCCCCACCAGCAAAGCTGCTCACGACTATAGAAGGTGAGCGTTCAGCACCCAATTTTCATTCTCAGTTGTTGTACTCCACTTTCAGCGTTTTCTACCTCCAGCTCTCAGCTTTCTTAGCCACAGCTACCATGTCTACTCCAACTTCCACTCCCGCGAGTGGCACCGCTGGTGAGGATACCAGCGCCGAGGCCTCCACCGCGGAGGAGTTTCAGCCCGATACCAACCACGTGGTGTTCAAGCACTTTCGCGTCCCCATCCGCGAGAACGTGAAGGGCGTTCCGCGCATTTGCAAGCACTGCAAGCTGGAGTTCGTCGGCGCAGCCTACCGCTGTGCGCAGCACATCGTCACCTGGAAGGGCATGCGTCGCCGCGAGGTGCGCCTCTGCAATGCTGCTCCATCAACGGCCCGTAACGAAATCCGCGCTCTTTACGAGAAGAAGCATTCCTCTCGCGACTTCAAGCGGCGGGCGGAGGAGTTCGCCCTGGAGGCTGTTTCTGGACGCGCGAAACAAGGCCGCATCAGCGACACCTACGGCGACGCGGCTGCTTGCGCGAAGACCGACGCGGACGACGCCATCTGCCTAATGTGGGCCGGCCTGCGCCTCCCGGAGCACCACGCGGACCACGTTTTGTGGCGGAATGCTGTCCATTGCATCAACAACGCGCCAAAAGGTTACGTGCCCCCTCGTCGCCGCTACGTCGGAGGTGCGGGATTGCAGAAGACCCGGAAGAGGATTGAGCAAGGCCTTTCCCCGATCGTCGCCAGCTGGAAGCGTGACAGTGTCACGCTCTCGTCCGACATTATGACCGACAAGAATGGCCGCCCCCAGGGCAACGTCTTGCTCATCAACGACTACGGTGCGGTCTTCACCGAGAGCGTCGATTGCAAGCTGGAGCAGAAGACGGGTTGTACATCGCCAGCGTCCTCCGCCCCATTGTGAAGACAGTCGGCCCCGAGCACGTGGTGTCTCTCTGCGTGGACGGCGCGAGCAATTACGCGAGCGCCTTCAAGGAGTTGGCGCTTGAGTGGCCACACATTGAGTTCGTCCCGTGCGCGACGCACGTCATGGACTTGCTCATGGAGGATGTTGGGCGGATGGATTGGGCAAAGAACGTCGTGGAGCAGGCCAACGAGATCATCACCTTTGTGCGCAACCATCACTTCACCCGCGGGTACCTGAGGAGCCCGCAAGTGCAAGGGGGAAAAGGGAAGCAAGTGCTGAAGCCGGCGGGCACAAGGTTTGGCACGCAATTTACCGCTGTTTCTCGGCTTTGTGAGGTGCGGGCCTCTCTCGTGCAGATGGTGCTGAGCAAGGAATGGGAGGAGTTTGCGAAAACAAGGAAAGAAGGCGCCGAAACCTTCAAGTCCAAGATCATGGATGACCCGTGGTGGAAGAAGGCTTCTTACTTCAGCGACTTGATGAAGCTGCCGTTCGTCGTGATGCGCGCCACCGACTCAACCAAAAAAGGCATGATGGGGCGCATCTACGACATGATGCTTCAACTCACTGAAGATGTGAACACTAAGGTTGAAGAGGGGGGGGAGGTGCTGACCCGGGCTGACAAGGCGGAGATTACCAAGATGGTGGGCACCCGCTGGGATGGGAGCATGGCATGTGCCATGCATGTTGAGGGGCGGATCCTGAACCCCCTCAACCAAGAACAAGGTATCTTCCGCAACGACTTGGAGTGCACCCGCATCTTCAAGTCTTACCTCAACCGCCACTACGACGGCATCACCATCACGCGGAAGGATGGTGAGGAGCGGCGGGCCGCCCATGTCCTGCAGGAGGGGCTGGAGGCGTTCATGACGCTTCAGGGAAGTTTCGGCCTCCCTGAGGCGATTTCTGACCGTGAGCTCGTCAAGGCAGGGAAGAAGACCATGGTCCAGTGGAGGACCTGGCACGGTACCGACAACCCAGAGCTGACTGCCCTGGCTTGCCGGGTCCTCTCTCAGCCCGTTTCCGCCGCTGCATGCGAGCGGAATTGGGCTATGTGGGACGCTGTCCACACTGCACGGCGCAACAGGTTGGTGTCCGAAAAATGCCGCGACCTAGTGTTTGTTGCGCACAATTGGAACATTGTGCACAACTGGCACAAGGCCGGGGAGGGGATGGGGGTATTGGTGGGGAACATTCCCGAGCCTCCCATCCCTGAGGGGTACAAGGAAGATCGGGAGGAGGAGGTGGAGGAGGGGGAGGATGACGTGATGGAGGATGAGTATGTTGAGTAGAAAGGGGCGTGGGCAGCAGAGAGGTAAGGAGTACGGGTGGGGTAGTATAAGGCTGGATTTCCAAAGGACCAGGGAGGGAAGGGAGGGGGTATGATGGGGAGACAGTAGTTGCTCTTTGTGGGAGTAGTTAGGACGTTGAAGGGGGTGTAGGCCACCTGGAATTCGCTATGTATTTGCATGTTATTTAATGGGAAAAAAAAACTGGGGAGGGCAGAGGTATGGGTGAAAAGTGCCCCCTCCCCCTCCCCTCTCCAGAACCTTTTTTTACCCTGCCCGAAAAAGTTTTTCCCCTGCCCGGACGACCGTATTTCCAGCGTATATCAAAGCCTTCTCTGGACGTATTGCGTACTATACTCTAGCGTATACACGCGGGCGTACAAAACGCGAAACGCGTATATTCCAACTTAGGCGGGTGGTAGCGGGATGTCCTCCAGTGAGTGATGCCTGTGGCCTGTAGTAGCTTATCGAACTCCCCCATGAACTCCGTTCCTTGGTCTGTGAGGACTTCCCCGCACGCCCCAAACCTAGTGAGGACCTGCTCCTCGAATGCCTCAGCTATTTTGGCCGAGTTCTTGCTAGGGAGGGCCCGTACTTCGACCCACTTGCTGCCGTGTTCTATCATGATCAGTATGTAGCGTTTCCCTCGTCGGCTCAGCGGCATCTCTCCCGCTAGGTCCAGGGACCATCTGAACCCAATCCCATGGATAGGTAGGGATTGCAACTCCTTCCTGCCCCTTTCCAGCTCGGCCTTGTTTCTGCTGCACAGCTCGCACCTGTCCACCCATTCCTTGATTTCCTTCCGCATCCCTTCCCACCACCATCCAGTCTCCACTAGCTGGGTAGTGCGTAGGCTCCCGTAGTGTCCCAACTGCCGATGAACGCTGCGGATGATTTGCTCTCGCTCGTGCTTCCGTGGGACCAGTTTCCACCTATCCCGCGAGTTCTTCTGCAGCTGCTCTTGATGCCACCGGTAGTGGTTTCCCCGGGCCCTAGCTCTCTCGCTAACTGGGGTCTCCTCGGATGTCTTTCCCTGCACCCAGTCCAGGACCTCCCTGTCATCCCATACGTCTGCTGGCCCCTTCCCCTTTTCGCGGCAAGCTCCCTCTG